CTCCGTATAAGTGTTAAAATGGGGTCATATGTTCATGTCCAAAAAGTCTTGTTGTTTGTTATGCAACACTAATCTCTATGCAGACTATTTCATCTATATTTCATTTTCCTCCTCGTACTTGTCTTTATACATTATTCTGCTGTTGGAGGCAATTCTTTTAGAGCAAGTGCTATAAGAATAACATGTATTATTAGTAGTCATAGCAGTACTTCCTAAAGTAGTAGGAGTAGTATTAAAATGTTGAGGACCAATACATTCAAGTTTACCTTTTTTTTTTAATCTAAATCAAGTTCCTATGTGTGTATGCACTACTCTTACATAATATGTAATCGTGCATGAGATCTCAGTGCTTTTGTTCATGTCAAATGTTGTCAATTAGGGCTGCCACAGATATAACACTATACCACAGTTACATGGCATATCAACAAAAGCTGAAGGGAGTTTGAGTCCGTTATGTAGGGACAGTCATTTGAAGGCTAATGAGGACACCTAGTGGCTGCTGTGTGCACAGGATTTCATACTGCATGAGCTGGGATGTAAGTCACTTTTCATGACTGTACCATTAAAAGCTCAATGTTTTCCCACTAGTTCGGATCAGTTATAGGGAGGGGAAAAGTCCAGTTACCAAGTTAAATCTAAAAAGGGAAGAGGAGTTACTGACCTTATTGTGAATGAGCGTGAGCCTCAGGTCAGGTTTTATAATCGCATAGGCCATCAGCAGGTCCTGCACTTTCTTTAGTTCCTCCTTGCACTTCTTGATGGAGGAATAGTACTGCCGTCTCACTGGAAGATTCTTGAAAAGTTTCAGTACGCTCACTGTTGTGCCTGTCAAACACAAGGAGCAAAAGTGTTTGACGTAAAATGTACTTTTCCTGCAACAAGGACTCAGGAAGACTAATAAACTAAATGCTAAAGATTACTAAAGAACAACAATGGTGGAAACATAGCACACATGAACATAGCAGCAGACAATATAGGTAACTTATACTGAAAAACAAGAGCAAAAAAGATCAAACAAACAAAGAGACAATCATGTAAACAGATGAGGAGCAAGGTAAGAGACATTAAAAAGGGTTGAGATACAAATTAAAACCATTTAGCCTCTCTATTCATTTTTTCCATAGATTTCACCATCAAGTTACATCCTTTCCACCTACAAGTATGTTTGTAGTATTTACCCCAAATAATCATAAGATTAACAGTATGTGAAATGTTTGTATCCAAGTTGTCCATAAAATAAACTTGCCAATTCTCTTACTGCCTTTTGGGATGTGACTCATTAAACGGCACTGCATCTCTTTTCCACTCATGACAAAATTTTTTCCATTGACCATTATAATAATCAACAGTATAATCCAATCCTGGAATAAATTAGTAACTTCATGTTCATAGTGCAGGAGATAATGTGACTGCTGGTGGAGCCAAACATTAAGTAATTATAATAAATCATATAAACAGAGAGCCTGTTTAGATCTGGCGTTAACATCCATCTTCTGTGATCCGAACACGAGTGGACAGATGTAAGTACGTCAGTTTACACCTGGCGTTAAAATGCCACCTGTGATCAGATCCCACCTCCCACTCTACATGCAAATAAACATGTACATAATTCCTGTTTGCAAAGACAAAATAAGTTTTTAACTGGTAGCAACAGTAGTAGCCAACACGCCGAGACAAACAGAAAGGGTTTTTTTACTCAGAAAGAAATAACTTCATGTATAAAGTCTGCCGAATTTATTAAAAGGCCCAAATAATTAAGAACATTCATCAAAGTGTATAACATCTCTCCTGTTTCCATAGAAACCGTGTGTTCACAAACATCGGCTGCTTATCTCAGCAGGTAAAAGAGTCCAAACACATCATCTGAATTAAATTTAACCAAATAAACAGCGTGTTTCTGATGTTAGTTGAGTAGGCGGCCCTTCAATGTGTCCCAGGATGCATTAGCGTTTACACCACAATGCATCTTGGTAGTTGTTTACACTTGTGATGTTGATACCAGGTGTAAACAAGCTCAGAGTGTTTGCAATGTCTTCTGGGTGCCTTACCTTGACCTAAGTGAGACGGCTTCTGAGAAACAATCGCCCCTGTGGAGTTAAGCGTGTACTGGGTGCTGATGTCATCCTCCTCTGTCTTCGTGGTGACACACACCTGAAGAGAAACAGCACCACAACATCCGGTTGCCAACTATCCCAGTTTATATCCTGTAATAATTATAGATCAGCTTTTATAGCTTATTAACCAACAGCTTATAAAAACTCCTCACCTCGGCCACGGCGCAGACGGAGCCCAGTGCCTCTCCTCGGAAACCGTACGTCTCCAGACGCTCCAAGTCCTCGTGGCAACAGATCTTTGAGGTGAAATGTCTCACGGCCATCACGGAGGTATCTTCGGCTCTGATTCCACAGCCGTTGTCACGCACCTCTATCCGGTCCAAACCGTAGTTCTCCTGCAATGTCAAATTCAATTACATACTGTGGACAGGAGCTTCTAAATCAGTACTGTGAGTTGTGAAAGTTTAAATAGTGATGAAAGCAGTTTTACCTGCAGGAAAAATATAGTTTGTGTTGTTTCACAGAACGCTTTATTTGGATGTTTTACTAACTGCGATACCCAGTACAACAACTTCTGCAGATTCTTCTGCACAGCTTTTTCTTTCTCTTTCTTCTTATCTTTATCTGTTTATATTTTGAAAGTACTTTATTTTTCTGTGTGATTTTTCTGTGATTTGAAGAACTGTATATTTGTATATTTGTAGCACCAACTGCACCGGTCACATTCCTCGTAGGGCGTAAACCAACTTGGATAAACAAAAATTTTGATTCTGATTCTGGATCTCAAAGTCTGGAGGGTTAATTGCTATACACTCACTTGCTCAGTTTTCAGTATAATCACTTGAAGCTTTGCTATCATTATACAATGTGGGTAGTATATGCAAAAGAACGACGTTTCCTCTCCCTCTGTGTCGCGTGCACCCAGAGCTCCCCGCTCATTTGCTTCTCTCGAGCAGACTGTCCATGCCTCTGGGGCTGTTATTCTTACGTCACATTGTAATTCCACATTTGTTGTATGCCCACCTCCGCAGACAGTCAGATCGAGAGAGGGAAATGAGCGGGGATCAGTGGGTGCACGCAACATGGAGGGAAGGTGAACATTGTTTATTTGCATATACTACCCATATTGTAATGATACAACGCTGATAACCACAAAGTTTCCCTTTACCATTTTTTTTTATATAATGTCCTGAGACGCAAAAAATAGGTGTATGCACCTTTCTGACTAAAGCCAACTGATGTTATTCATATTATTTTTAGCTGTATTTACACAAACAAAGCAACAGACAAGTCCACTCATGGTTCAGCGTCATAATCAATCACATCTCTTGGACGCTGTACCAGTTTAATGTCAATGCTCGAAGATCCAGCATCCAGGGAATTCTCCATCAGTTCTTTCACCACGTTCACCACAGACGTGATGACCTGGGAGCTGGACAGCAGCCGCACCGTATCCGGAGGCAGCTGCTTCATCATTTAAGATACCTGTTGAAGAAAAAGTCTGGTTTAATTAGGGCTGCAGGATACGGTAAAAAAATATCATATTGCGATTATTTTGACAGATATGAGTCGTGATTAGTGTGGGAATGAATATTTTTTTTTTTTTTCTGATAAAACTATTAAATTATTGACATTTTTGGGGGTCTGTACCAAACAATTATGTTTTCTTGAAATCCCTAGAGCAAGATTTGTTGGCCAGAGCATCTCTTCAGCACTACAGTAGTTTCATTCTGTCACACATTTTACTTTTATCAAATAAAACTGCAGCTTTTAATATTATAAATGTATTTATTATTACATAGGTGTGTTGTCAACAGCCTGTACATAGATGAGCTACATTACAAATACAGTTAATACAGTTAAACACAGTTCAATGTCCATCTGCATTAACCCATTTGCGACCAAATACTATATTTCATATGATAAGGAAAAATGACATAACATTTGTTCTGGTTGCTCTAACGTCTTGAAATATGGTACCAGCATACTTTGGCCAATTATCTTTCAGCACAACTTTGACATTTTTAGATAACATGTAAAATCACACTTTTATCAATAGTCAAAGTCGGAATTTTTAAACCTCAGATCTTATTTTTTTTAGAAATAAGAGCTTCCAGTTAACATGACACATAAAAACCAGTGTTAAGATTGTAAATGCAGCCCGTTAAAGATTATTAATTATCAATTTACAACTGCAATTAGTACGAATAATGGTGTATTATCTTGCAATCTGATTAAACTTCCACCTGTTTAGGTTATAATTAGATTTGTAGCCAGGCTAACGACATGTGTCAGTTCACTGCTTTACTGGCTTTCAGTCAAGACACAATTCATTCAGACAAAACTTCACAAAACAGAGAAACCTCATTTTAAAGCACCTAAATAAAATAGTAGACAAAAGGTCTTATAAGTAGGTTCATATTACAAATGTGAGCTAACTGCTGTGCAACTGATTTAACTCACAATAAAACCGTATTTCCGTGTAAACTTACGCGCCGACGTTACAAACTCTCATTAAGATGAATATTAATGTTAATAAATATCCCAATAAGGTAGTTAAATACCGATTTGAGTCGTTTTTCACGGCGGCTCCAGATGAATCTTTCATAAACAACAAACACGAGTCTCACGGCGGAAACCGGCGGATTCCCGCCCCCTTTGCTGCACGCTGATTGGTCAGAAGTGACAAGAGGGCGGGTTCAGAAATAACGCGGGGAAAATTACACCCTGACTTTACGCTGACAGGCACAACCATTTTTTTTAAAACCCGGCGTTTGCCATAACTGTTAAACACAATCCGTCCTCTAACTCACCTACACTTTAACCACGTGTAACTTAAATCTTAATATAACCACCTGTTGCGTATGACTTGTTGAAGGGGCTAAACGCAGCCTGACAAGTCAACGTGAAGGGGAAATCACCTCCATGAGTTCGCCTTCTAACCACGTCTCTTTCCGGTCGGGGTCAGTCTATCACACATCAACAAGGGAGATAAACTATTTCTCTCCATAGCAGTCTGTTCCCATAAATACCTCCACTGCTCGCTACCACCTGTAAGTTTGCAACGCTGGCTTGTGTGTGTGTGTTCACGTTACACTTTTTAACCGCGTTACGTTACTTCTTGTTCTTGACCAACTTGGTTTCAGGGTAGTGGTGGTGTTTTTGGTGCAGGTTATGTACTGGAGGACGAGAATAATGTCTCATGTTTACACACCTACTTTTTACAAGACAGGATGGACATTAAAGAATAGATAAGGAGTGCAGTCAGTTTTAATTGCATGTCATTGTTTATGTAAATGTGTTTTTTAACAGGCGTGCAGTTTGTAAAGTAATCAGCAAATAGACAAAGCCAGTAAACAGTTTGAGCACCAAAACACGTTTTTATTTTGATTTTAATTTTTAGTCAAATCTTGTGAAAAGGATTCTTTCCTGTTGTCTCATTCATTCCTGTCGTTGCAGATACTTGCTTTCTATAAGTAATCGTTGTTATCAGACTCAATATATCTGTTACTGCATGTGTAAACCTTGAATCTGTCTGTCTGACTGAGAATGAGCTCAGGTATCCCAAATATAATGTGATTGTGGACAGTTATTTGGTTAAATGTTAGGGCTTATGTACTGTTGCACTGAGCCTTTCTGCTTTAAACTTCTTTAGAAACAGTTATAATTTTGTAGAGAGTGTAGTGAACTGTTGAATGTTGGCATGCACCTGAAACATGCTGAAGGAAGTCATTAATGCCCTTAAAGACTGCAACTTACCCCCTTTTCTTTCATCCAGTCTGTGTGCCAGAGGGCAAAGTTCAATAAGGTTGCACAAGGTGTTTTTGTTGTTATCACATTTGGACTTGCTGTTGAGGGCCAAAGTGCTGCATTGCTGCTTTTAAATAAAAGTATAGCAGATAGAAAATTGTAAATAAAGCACTCCTGGAGTCTTCTGCAGTTCGCAGCGTGTTTTGCAGAGTAGATGTGACGTGTGTATGGCTGCTTAAAGTGTTACAGGATTACAGGATTCACAGGTCACTTTTTGTTAATGGACATTGACACGACCACTGATCTGACTTTATAAGTACCTGAGAAATGCCAGAGATTCAAAAACCATGGAAAAAAAATAGATTTTATTAAACAGATCAATGCTGAAAGTTTAGTTGTTTTTTAAATAATGAGGAGAAATACAACTGTTGCACAGAAGTGTTTATTGTTTAGTGAATATATATGTGTGTGTATTTTCTGTTCACAGACCAGAATGAATGTGGGTGTGGCACACAGTGAGGTGAACCCAAACACTCGGGTCATGAACAGTCGAGGGATCTGGCTGACCTATGCACTTGGTGTTGGAATACTTCACATCGTGCTCTTGAGCATACCCTTCTTTAGCGTGCCAGTGGTGTGGACTCTAACTAATGTCATACACAACTTTGTAAGTCACATTTCGCACACTGTCACTGCGGCTCACCGGGCCCAACCAACAGCACCAGGCCATTCAGATCACTACCAGAATCACTCTCCACAGCAATGACTCATTTTGATTGAAGGGTGTTTTACATAAACACTTAGAGTAACTCAAAGTTAGTTGCAGCCTCACAGGCCAAATGAATGTTGCATGCATGTGTAGCAGCCTGGTGTCTGTTACCTTCTGCCTTGTCTGTGCTTGTGTGTGCTTGTTGAAGACGTGCTCTATTTCCGGGGAGGCTGTTCTGAAAGCGTGGCCCATTGTGATCATTTCTCCTCCACAAGGTCTGCAGAGCCCGAAGCGGTTAACGGGGATTGTGTGTCGCAGCCAATACGGAAAGGCTATTAACAGTAACCGCTAAGGTCAACTATAGCCGATTGTTTTCCACACAATACGACAGCAGTGTGCTCGTTATGGCCTTGGCCGTATGTCAGCGTTTTAGCTTTATGACTCTCGCCTCTGTAATGCAGGTTTTCCATTTAAAGCCGAATTCCTGTGTTTTGACATTGAGGCATGTAATTGGAAAATGAGTGGCATTCCCAAGATAGCTAGTGTAGCAATAAATCCTCATCGTCTTGTCCTTTTCTCTTTTTTCTTTTGGGCTCTTGAATGTGTATTTGTCAAGCACCACAAGCACCAGGCAGGAGTTGTTTCTGTTGGGTTCTTCTGTCTCTACTCTTTATGCCTTAAAGGTCCAGTGTGTAACATTTAGGAGTATAATATCCATAGGTATGTTTCCTTTAGTGTATAATTACCTGAATATAGGAACTGTTATGGTTTTGCTACCTTAGTAGGAGCCGTTTTTATATTTAACAGACTCTGGCTGTAGACAAGGCCTTGTACATTAATAGTTTCACAATTCACATCCAGTTTTTATTCCCAGGTCGTCAAATACTGGCGCCATTGGTGTTCAGTTAGTTGCAATCTGCAGCTTCACCACTAGATGCCACTAAATCGTACACACTGGCCCTTTAGATACTCTTAAAGTCAGACACCAAAGCTCCTGCGGCAACTCCGAGTTACAGGGTTTTTCTTTGTCAGAGGAAAGTAAACAGAGATTTTTTTACTACAGCCAGAGGCTTTATATCCTGTATTTGCAAAGAAAAAAAAAAACCCAGTCCAAGTTCTCTTACATATAAAGGACCAGTGTGTAGGATTTGGATGTGCTAGTGAAGTTGCAGATTGCAGCTAACTGAACACCACTGGTGTCTGTGTTTGACAACCCGGGACGCAGTTGGTCCTCTCTACAGCCAGTGTTTGGTTTGTCCTGTCCCTGGGCTACTGTAGACACAATGGCAGATTCCAGGGAATGTGCCATGTAGATATAAACGGCTCATTCTAAGGTAACGAAACCATAACAATTCCTTTATTCAGGCAATTATACACTAATTAAAACATACCTATGAATATTATATTCCATTTCTGCCAATAGATCCTTGTAAATGTTACACACTGGACTTTTAAACTTTCATATATAAGAACATTATTTAAAATCAACAGTATTTTATGACTCCAAATTGAAATGAATTGTGACACATTGGGCCACTTCATTTTATCTGTCTGCTATGCTATTACTGCACTACCGGCTGTGTTTTTTGTCCCTACAGGGAATGTATGTCTTTATGCATGCAGTGAAAGGCACACCTTTTGAGACCCCCGACCAAGGAAAAGCCAGACTTCTTACGCATTGGGAACAGCTTGACTACGGCGTGCAGTTCACTTCATCTAGAAAGTTTTTCACCATCTCCCCAATCATTCTGTATGTATTAGATATCATATGGTTCTGTCTTTAGACGTATTATTTAGATATACATACAGAAGAGTACTACTTTATATGGTTGTTAATATGTTGTGTTTTCTCTTCCTGCATATTCCTTGTGTTAGATTTTATGGTTTATTTTTTTAATGAACCCGTCTGTTTTGCTCCACAGATACTTCTTGGCAAGTTTCTACACAAAGTACGACACGACACACTTCGTCATAAACACAGCCTCACTTTTGAGCGTCCTGATCCCCAAGCTGCCACAACTACACGGAGTCAGACTTTTCGGCATCAACAAGTATTAAGTTATTGTAAATGCTGTGCCTCATAGCAACAGAAGTTGATTCCTGTGTAGTCTTTACCGCCGATGTGTGTACTAAGTCGTACAGTTTGTGTAAACGTCACTGTCGTCGTTTAGATGTCAGGTTTAAGATGAAATGTTAAAAAACAAACAGGAGTAGGTTTGTAGATGACAGGATGCCATATGCATTACTAACTTATGTGAATATTTAATAATGTATTTTTGGCCTGTGTAGACCTGGGCTGGCCCAGGCATCAGCAAGGCTTTTGGTTGAGTTTATTATTTTTCTTTCTGTCTTTGCTCTCAGTTCACATGGCAACACAAATTGTCAGTATGAGTCTGTTTCTAACAACAAAAGATGTCCCAAATGTATTTTTCAAAGATGTTTACTTCCTAAGGGTAGGAGCCTGTGGCTCGTTGTTTATTGGTACACTCTCATTTTGTAATGGGTGTCAAACTTATTCATGCTGAGTGACGAATGGAATCATATTCCTTATTTGCATGATTTCCTTGGTATGTGAATCATTTCTCATTTGTAACTCAATCAAAGTAGGGCAGGCTTTTTTTTCATTGTACAGTTTTTTTTTGTGAATGTTATGTCCTGTATGTAGAAATGAGACAAATTATTGTTGTCAGGTTAAGTGTTTACTGAGGGAGGTCTACAGTGTCCGTGTGATAAACTTACATTCATGTAGCTGCTCTCTTTAGATTATGACTTTTTGCTACCAATGCAGCTAGTCCTGCTTTGTTTGGCCATAGCTCATAGTACTCTTGAGAGTTCTTGTTCTTAACCTTATTAAAATGTTTGTGCCCTCACACTGTTCTGTGTCTCATTGCATGGTGCATTGCATGGTGCATCCCTATGGTTATGGGATTTTGAGAATGTAATGAGACTTTTGACTATTTTCCACAAAGGAAATGTCAGTTAATTTGAGGAGTTTACGGATGAATACAGAACATTTTCTACACGTTTTTCTTTGGATGTGAGCTATTCATAAACTATGGTATGAAGCTAAACTTTTGACCTGAGAAGTAATCCTAGGTTTATCAGGAAAGGCATTAACACCGACCTAACCCGGGTTCACAGTAAAATAGCTGTAATGGTGGAGTATTACAACAGATTACACATAAATAACATTTATCTGAACCTAATTTATGTACTAAATAGTTTGAAAACAAATGACAAGTTGCTGGATTCTGTCAGATTCTATATAAAAGATTAAATCTTTAACAAAACCAGGTCACACAATGTCACTTAAGTCAATTGCAGAGGCTGTTCTGGACCTGGATTTCCAACCTACTGCAAACAAGGAAATCTCCAATCTTGATATGTTGAATTTAAAGATCCACTCCACACATGTATTAAAACAGATACAAACAATCTTGGAATAATAATGTGTGTCTGATATGTTTTTCTTTCTGCAAAACAGTTTAATCCCCACATTAAAATCCTTAAAAAGGCATCTACTCTGTTCACCTCATTAAAAAATGTAAAAAATAATATCCATAATCTTTGTTTTTTTGTAGAAAAAATGCAGATTTAGTTAATTTCTGAAGTTTTCCTGCTGGACTTTTCCTCCTTCACTGTAAAGTCCATTCTCAGTGTCTGGTGGATCTCACTGTATAACTTTCATACTGGATCAGGTTGACTTCCAAACTATTTGTGATGTCACAAATAATACTTGTGGGCTACGCTCCTAAAAATCAAATCTTCTTTAACATCCCCTGCAGGTTAATGCGACAAAACAATGTAAATATAAAATTTTAGCTGGTAGCTTAGTTGCTGTATTTTTAAATTTTATTTAAAACATACATGCTTTTTCCTATAATCACAAATTATTATTTAATTTTTATTGTGCTAATGTTGTATCTTAAGTCTGGCTTCAGTGTCGCTGACTTTCTCTTTAAAGCCCGTAAGTCACAGTTTTAAGGTCGCAGTCAAAAACCTCAGTCTAAAGGAAAGTCAGCACTATAGTGGGAACCTAATTATTGGTTTTCATATACAAATATGCTCTCAATACAACACCACATGATTAAAAACTTTATTTAAAATAAATGCAAAAGTAAAACAGTGATAACGAGAATTCAAAGAGTTTTCCAGCTGATGAATTAAAATACATTTGTTTATCTACTTTCCCTTTTAACGTGCTCGTCCAAACTGTTAAGATCCTCACACTGCTTGCCCAAGACTCCTTTATAAACCTCAAAGCGATGGTTCAAATCTTTCTGCGAGTGGATTTTATATTTGGTCCCGAAGGCCCCGTCAGCAGAGACGCTCCCATAGAAGACGCGACCTATCCGGGAGTGCACCAGCGCCATGGCGCACATGACACAAGGTTCCCGGGTCACATAAAGGTCATACCCAGTGCATATGTACGGCTGAGAGCTCGCCTCTGCACCAGGAACCTTCTGAACGGTGTCTGAGGTTAGTGAAGTAAAGCTGCATGCAGGGTATCTGTCATAGGTGTAACATCCACCGCCCTGGCTCCGAGCCACAAGGTCAATGCAGACCATGACTGCGTGATGAAGAGGGTGATCGCCTCTGCAGTCATGGCCCACCGCAATGATCCTCTCCATCGCTGGGTCGACCATCACGGCCCCCACCGCCTCCATTCCCAACTCGTTCGCTGCTCTGGCAGCAGTCAAAGCAGAGGTCATGTACACGTGCATCCTGGCTTTCTGAGGCGCGCCGAAGAGCTCTCCTCTCAGGGCGACGGTCACCTGTTTGTCCTCGTGAAAGGAGGTCGGCCAGTGTTTGCTCGCCAGCTCAAACTGGGGTCGGGTCAAGGGGGGACGTGCAGGGACCTTAACCACAAAAGGCTCACCCAGTCCGTCTGATTTAACTCCATCTGAGGGGAGCAGAGAGTCGATGCTGACCACCTTCATGGCTCGTGCGTCACTGACCAGGCACAGAAGGACTTCCAGAGGGTGAGGGCTGCCCTTCTGCTTGACCGCCCGCACCCTCTTGACATGCTGAAGGTCAGTCAACGGGTAGAGGCTGTTCAGCTCCCGGACCAGTCGAGATGTCTCCTTCTTGTTGACAATGGGTGCAGCATACGCCTCTACCAGCTCGACGTCTTGTGACTGCTCATCTGACAGTACAGGATAAGCAACCCAGGAGTCGGTGTCACACTCCGATCCCTTCCAGCGTTTGGTCTGTGGCTCCATTGTTTTGGTCTTCTCCTGTGAAATATGATTTCACACCAAAGTGAAACAAAGTCAGTGTATTTTCAGGACAGGGCACAAGATGAAAGAACATTTCAGACTGGTTTATAGAACAACAGCTTTAGACAAAAAAACAAGACCACTGCATCGTTTTATTGCCTTAACAGAGGTCAGCAGGTCAGGGCAGATTGTTATTCTAGCTCAAAATACGAAGAAGCTAGTTGTAACTTAAAAGAGTGAACTTGTAATAAATCATATACTCTGGTTAATGAGTGACACACTGGATGTGCCATTTCATTCATTTTCAGTTTGGTGATGTTTGTCTGATTATTCAGCCATAAAATACAGTGCAGTTAAGTTATGTGTTATTCTTAATTTGTACAATTAAAAGTAACATCATTTTGTATCCATGCCAACTGAATCATGCTGATTTGAATTATATTTGTTTGCTTATTGTGGAACTAAAGTGGATTTATACCGGAGCCCAACTGATACTGAATTTCTGAGGCCAATTTTATTTATTTTTTTAATAAATAACTCTTAAAGATCCTCTCCAGACATGTATTAAGACATAATTAATACAGTCTGCTTGGAGCAATAATGTGTGTCTGAAGTTTTCTCTGCAAAAAGGAAGTCTAACTTTAACTTCACCTCATTAAAATACCAGAAACTATGAATATGCTAATTCTGTTCAATTTTATATCTCAGGCATTTCAGTACTGCAATGTGTTAACTTATCTACCGATAACAATACACCTGTGAAAAGCTGAAATCAAACACTTGTATATCAGTCAAAAGTTAATCAATAAAGTAAATAATGCACACACAAACACAACCAGTTATGATTTTACATCTATTTTATTTATGTAGCGCTGAAACAAGAAGAATAATGATTACAGTCATTCACCAACTAAAAGTAAGAAACATTTGGTCACAGCTTCAGAGTTGCACATACACGCTTCGCTTTCTGATAATAAATTGAATGTTTGAAAGTTTTTTTAAGACATTTAAAGACAGCGTTTCTTCTGTCGTTATTTGATCCATAGATATGCAAACATAGGTCCCATAATCCCTCGTAACATTTAAAAAAATGAATCCATGATTCAAACAATTTCTAGTTGCAACCTTCAGATAGAAGTGATCCATTATAGACATGTGAAACATAATTCTTAAAGCAGCCTGGAGGAGTCTTTCCTTCATTTCCTCCCCAGTATAAGCTTCGTCTTCATAACTTTGGGCACATGTCTTATGGTCAGTGACACTCTGGTGCCTCGGGTCAGCGTCTCTCCTGGCAGGGCCCCGGCGGCGGACAGGTTCACCACCTTGTCCGTCAGCGTGTCCTGGGCGTGGGGCCGGATGCCGTGCAGGAGCCTCTGGTACATCTCATCCTGCAGGATCAGAAGACTGCGCGGCTTCACCAGCAGGGAGAAGAGGAAGCGGTTCTCCTCGGTCTGCGGTGCGTCGTCCTCCAGGCTGCTGATGGGCGCGTAGAAGTCGAGGAGGGTGTGAGAGCCCAGGCTGATGGTGGTGACGGTAGGGTGGTACAGCGGGCCGTCTTCGTGAGGCATAATCCCCTCTCCTTGTTTGTACTCATTCACCAACACATGATTGGCAGTTTTCCCACCGAATGCACCCAGAGAGGAGATTTTCTCGCAGTGCGTCTGGAGCCAGTCGGGAATCTTTTCTGCCAGCATGCCTTTGGGATGCGGTGAGCCTCCCCAGTTCTGCAGCCTTCGGCCTGACAGCTGAGTCCATTTAGTTTTTGGAGACCTGTGCACCTGCTGTTGAAGGTAGGACTCCTCGTCTTCAGATATGAAATCTGGGATGTAATACACTGTTGGTGGGGCATCTTTTAAGACAAACTGCTTCAACTCCTCCAAAATACAAGCTGGGTGATCCATGCCTCCTTTAAAGTCAACATGAGATGCTTGTTAAAACCTAAGTTTTTTTAAAAAAAAAAGAAGTGCTAATGCTGGCTGACAGCAACTACTTACTGAAACGTCTGCAATGTGTATTAAAGTGTGCAGGTTAATAATAAAATATCATCTATTTCCATCCATCCAAGGCATTTCTGTGTATGTTGATAGCTTTAGCAACTTCTTTTAGCTTCCTCAACCCTTTTGCATACAATCTACGCGTACATAATGAGAAATATAGAGCGTCAAACAGGTTATATTATCATATATATATATATATATATATATATATAAGTTCGCTGACAACTATGAAAAGGGTCCTGGTTTCTTTGTTTGTTGTTAAAAAGACAAACTGCAGCAGAAAAATCCCACAACGTAAAAGAAGTGGACGTAATGGTGCCTTTAAAGCTGTGGTAATTCGGAGCTTTATCGTGGCAAAAACGTACCGTTACCCGTCAACTTACCGCTGCCTGTTGATGCCGAGACAAACAACACGTATAGAATAAGTCACGTATTATCTCAGATGTTATATCGTTGCCTCTATATAACACTGGACTTTTTTTAATCACACGCACAGCAACCTCTGCCTTTCTCCACAATAACATGCGTTATTCCGCTGATGTTGTACAGTTTTTGCAGAATTCCGACATTTTTGGTATCCCCTGAAGGCAGCACGGCCAACTACACGCAAACGGCTACTTTTACATTCTGACGCAGCGCCATGTTTGTTAACACGAACCGACACAGCGCCGCTATCAACATAAGTTAATACTTAAAAATGCAAATAGTTTAACCATTAAGTGACACGAAATGATCTTTACCTCTTTTCGATATCAAAACCTAGAAGAGAATACCGGAAAACACCCAGTTAACCGCTCGACTCCATGCTTTCATGCTTGTGTCGCAGACTAAAATGTCCCCTTAAAAGAAAACCCACATTTTATTTTCTAAATAATTTTTTTAAAGTTATTTGCTTTTTAAAAATAAACATTTGTTGGGTATACTGTTAAAGTGGATAGCATACTTTTCTTTTAATGTCTTTTAGGTACTTAATTTAATGTGACATATTTGCCGCTGCACGGAATTATTTACATGTGACACAGCGACACGGAAGCGAAATATGAGTAAAGACAGATTAGAGAATACACTTGTGCTTTCTACTTGGGACTAAATGGACTTTATGTGTTTCCTAATGTGAAGCTGGGGCCACATTCTCTTTATATCGTCCTCATTTTGGTCATATTGTGAGTTTAAAACCAAATGGGAACTAAGTTGAGGTCACCTTCAGTGAATAGACTGCTTAAACTCCCAGTTGTAACATAAAGTTCATGAACAATGTTTCCTACAAATGCAAGACATGTGCACAGGTTGTTAAAGTTCAGACACACAGTGTGGGGCCCCGTTGGAACAGCACCGTGCTCCAGACTGGTTCTGGGCATCGAGACAAGCTGTGATGAAACTGGAGCTGCTGTGCTGGACGAGACAGGGGACATACTGGGAGAGGCTCTACATTCACAGAAAGAAGTACATCTGAGGTGGGTGTCAGAGCTGTTTTATATCACTGGTTGCATGGCTTTTGTTTGACACATCTTCCCTTGTTTCTTTAACGCTGCAGGACCGGTGGCATCATCCCCACAGTGGCACAGCAGCTCCACAGAGAAAACATACAGCGTGTGGTCCAGGAGGCTTTGGAGAGGAGCAACGTGGAGCCGAGCCAGCTCTCGGCGGTGGCCACCACGGTGAAGCCGGGCTTGGGCTTGAGTTTGGGCATCGGCCTTGAGTTCAGTCAGAGGTTTGTGAGGCAGCACGACAAGCCCTTCATCCCCATCCACCACATGGAAGCCCACGCCCTGACCGTCAGGATGCTCCAACCTGTCGCCTTCCCCTTCCTCGTCCTGCTCGTCTCTGGCGGTCACTCGCTTCTCGCTGTGGCCCGAGGAGTGGACGACTTCTTGCTTTTGGGCCACACTCTGGATGAAGCTCCAGGGGATACACTGGATAAAGTATGACCTTAAAATGTGGCTGTTGTCGATTATACACAAATGTAATGTCTTTTTTTTTTGTGTGTGGATTCGCAGGTGGCCAGACGTCTGTCCCTCATTAAACACCCGCAGTGCTCCACACTGAGTGGAGGACAAGCTATAGAGCTGCTGGCGAAGGACGGAGACAGGACGAGGTTCCCTTTTAAGACACCCATGGGACGAATGTACGACTGCTGCTTTTCTTTTGCTGGGATACGAAATCAAGTTACAATGACGATAATTAAAAAAGAGAAGGAGGAAGGTATGTGGTCAGATTCTCAGACCGTTTTCTGCAGCATACATTTGAGCTTTTATTAGGTTTATTCAATATACTCCTTCTTCCTCCAGTATTGTTTAAGTTGTTCTGTCTGGATAAACTGGATTTGTAACCGTTTTCCCTCCGTCTGTAGGTGTAGAACAGGGCGCACTGTTATCATGTGTGAATGACATTGCAGCGGCGACACAGCACACAGTTGCCTCTCATCTGGCGAAGCGCACACACCGTGCCATCATGTTCTGTAAGGCAGCCGGCCTGCTGCCACCAGACAATCCCACCTTGGTCAGTGCTTCATGATAAGTAATAAGTGCTTGCATGAAAACAGCAATGCCAGTTCCCAGCGCTGCAGTTATTAAATGGGATTTTAACCAATCTCAATTTCTTCCTTTTTCCTTATTTATGAGGTTGATTATTTAAATATTGACACTCAGATCTTGTTTTACTGTACTGTTCTCACATTAACATCTTCTTACATCAGGAATACTGAGAAAGACTGACAACTAACTCGTTTTTTGTGCAACTCCATCCAGCGTCATCGACTGAATAAAGAATTCAGAGTGCTTTTTAAAGGATAAGCCTAATGATATTCTATATTTAGCTTATTATCGACAATAATGCCGTCATAAAGTTGTTCATAGTCTCCATGAAAAGAACTTTTTGCTCCTGTTTGAGTAACGTTTGCTAAAAACTACAGTGCCCTGCTGATTTAAAGAAATTAAATTTTACCATGAACATTATTATATATAAACACACAAATACACACACAAAGTAAAATTATTGTTGTTTGTTTGAAATTTGGTTTTGTTGTTTTATTACTGATCTGTATATACATATATTTTACAGATGATTTGGCAATGTAAACGTCTGTTTCCCCCCCCCCGCCTGTAAAGCCCCTTTGAATTGAATTGAATATTTTCGACCCATTTTTAACAGTAGGGGTGTATTAAGATGGACTAACACATTATTGGTTTTGGTCTCGTCAATTGATTTGTTGACAACGAGAGAAATAACACCAGCCTGATCCTTTAACTTGGAGAACATTGTGAATATGGATTTAAAGATTTCTTCTTCCTTTTCTCTTCAGGTGCTGTCTGGAGGAGTTGCAAGCAATCAATATATACGCAAGGCTTTAACCATTATCACTGAGGCGACAGGACTACACCTGCTCTGTCCTCCGGCAAAATTCTGCACTGACAACGGAGTGATGATTGCATGGTGTGTATACTGACTCGGTAAAGGTTTGACGGGGAATGCAATCAGACGATGTGCATTTACATTTTTTGGTTTTTCAACCAGGAACGGCGTTGAACGGCTGAGAGAAGGAAAAGGGATCCTGCCTCCAAACGTGGACGTCTTCTATGAGCCAAAGTAAGTGAAATAAATATCTCATTTAAAAATGTCAGTGCAGACTGAATTCTGGTTTGATTTCTTTGTGCTGCTGCTTAAAAAACATGAATGTTGTATTTCAGGGCACCGCTGGGAGTCGACATGACGGCTGAGGTGAAGGCAGCAGCCATCAAAGTGCCGTCAGTGAAGATGAAGATCCCCAACTGACCAAAAAAAGTGTTTTCCCATGTTAAAGTATATACTGTGTATATGCTATCAATGTATAAGCATATTAAACAGCTATTTATTAATAAAAGTGTTTTTATACATCTCGGTTTTTTAAAATATGCTTTAAAAAAACGACCTGAAAATTTGAAATCCAAACAATTTAAAACAATAAAGCCATATTTTTTGTGTTTGTAAAGAATAACCCGAACAATATGGCTGCTTCATAAATTATAGGTGTCTGATAATTCTACAAAGGTTTGTTCTTCTGGTAAATTATCAGTATTTGCTTCATGATAAGTTCTTAAATAATACAATTTTAAATGTAACCACATTTATGTGGAATAACGTGTAATATTTGAGCATCTTTACGGTTGAATCAACAACCCGAGGGTCATAAGCAGCACGGAAGTGTTGCATTCCTGTTTGACTGTATGTGTTACACAGCAAGCTGGTTTTTGCCACCTCAACGCTAATTTGAACCAATTTCCAAGAAGGAATCAAGTGTTTACTGTTCCTTTGTATGTAGAGTACAGGAGAACAGGAGAACTCAATTTATTGTGCCACCTACACGTTAGGACAGAAAAACATGACCTGCAGCTTCTTGCTGGGGAAAAATGGGACCAAACTGTAACTGTAACAAAATCTACTGTAAGGCTATTCAGCTTTTGATTTATCGAGTACACTTTATTAAATTGAGGTGTACTATGGAGTGTAATCTAGCTCACTGAGGTACACACAGAATTGGCTAAGCACTACCCTCTAGTGGTTGGTTTAGGTATGTGCAGCTAAAGAGTGATGGATGTGACCAAGTACAAATTTGAGGTACTTTACTTGAGTATTTCTATTTTTATGCAACTTTATACTTTATATTCCACTACATTTGTTTGATAGAATATGATTTGTTGCTGTAGATTAGAGTACTTATGATACTTTTCACGTACATTTTTTCTGATAATTATAGACGGGCGTTTCCAGAGGTGGGGGCCTGGGATGGAAACCTATGTGTTTATCTTTTGTTCTAAAACGTGTTATTGACCGAGATAACCATGTATATTAGATTGTAATGTGCATAGAATAATGGAATCATACATTTTTAATTTGTTTGTTTTGATATCGGCATTATATATGAGCCATCAGTCGCTCTACTTATCGGCAACAGAAATAGAAAAACCCATTTCAGTCAACCACTCCTGATAATACTTACATACTTTGCCTTAAGTAAGGTTTTGAATGCAGAACCTTTATAATTTGGTATTAGTACTTTTACTTAAGTAAATGATCTGAATACTTTCACCACTGCACCTCAACACACAGTGGAGGGGAGTTCCTTTTATCAATGAACATGCAGAGAAAACCAACAAATGACATGTGACATACAGTAGTTTTCCACACACATACTATGGTTTATTTATTGTGTTACTGAATACAACAACTGTTCAACTGGATACAATGATAATCATTAGTTTGACAACATAAAGATGTACAAAAGAACTTGTAAACATGTCTGACAAACAACAACACGCATCCATGTGCATTTTATCATCAATTATATTCAAACTTCACAGAGAACAGACACATTTCTTTTAGGTTTGTTTATATATTGGACATCCTATCTGAGGAAGAAAAGATGAGTCTTCGCAGTCACCTTCTTTAATTTAAATCCGACTGTATCTGTGGATCTGGTGTGATATTGCAGATTAGAGGGCAGGAAATTCACAGGGAGGTGGGACAATTAAAGCTCCTTTTTCTTTTGTCTGTGGTTAAACCACTTTCTAAAATCTCACATGACAGTCATGTTACAGTTTCACTGATCCCACAACATTGTGCAATCTTGTGGGTTCTGCAAACTGAATCAATGTTCACAGACAGAAATAAAACATTTAAAATGCTAAAATTTAGTGGTATTTGCACAAAAGTCCAAGTTTTCACATGTGTTGGATTTTTTCTTAAATGCATAGTTGAATAAAGAGGCTAGTTCGCCGGCTTGGAAAGATTTTGGGGACCAGTGTGTAACATTTAGGAGGATCTATTGGCAGAAACTGAATATAATATTCATAAGTATGT